ATGGGTCGAGTGGACCGGGGGGTCATCGAAGAAATTATCAGACACCCCCCCAAAGAAAACGTCCTGGAATACTGGAATGCGAATTTGGTTATACTGTACATAACTTACAGTACTTTGCGATTTTCATTAAATTGCTCAGGGGTACCGATATTAAATGATCAATCATTTAATCATGTGTTTTCTAAGCTATTCTTGGTTGGTCGCGTGAATTCGGCGGATAATCTTAACAATAAAAGTACCGTAGGTCAAAGAGGTCTCTTTAACGCTGAGAAATAATAGCGTTATACCCGAAGATCTAATGAATCCATAAATGAACGGTGAATAAGGCCAAAAATGAATTCATAATAACCAACTTAGGATGATTGTTATGTCCTCGCACACCGAAGTTCCATTAACGATCGTCTCTTGTGATCCTTGATCAATGTTACAAGAAAGACGTCACTATTTACCCCATCCCTCCTGTCGATGATAAACTTGCGTGACAAATTAAAAAAATATTCAATAGGCAGTAATCATATTGATAAAAATATCTTAAAGTAATCATGTAAAATTGAATTTTATTGCGTGCCAATCATTGATTTGTATTATTAAAAAAAAATAATCTAACGGTGGAATGATGCGTCTATTGCGTAGTTTTGGGGATCAAAGGAAAGATGTTGTTTCTAACGAATTCCACCTGAATTACGGCCAATATATTATACATGTACATCTTCAATATTGTTTTTTTTTTTTTTACCGTCTCTTCATTCTCTTCCTTTGGAATATACCATAAAGAAATGCATTGTGATTTCAGCTAATGGGCGCAATGGACCGAAAAGAATGGACCGAAAGATGAATAATTGAGGTCGATTATTATATTTTGATTCTTGGGGGTACAAACAATGCACAATGTACTATTACCATACCTTAAAAAGAAGTAATTTTGCTATACACTACAAGTCTAAAGAGATTTGGTGCATGCTCGACATTATTCTTTTCATTGTTCCTCCTTTTCGTGATTATTCTCTCTCTTTTTTTTACGCCTATTTGAATCACACAAACATTCATGTTTCCGTGATGCGAATGAATTGATTTGAATCACTAGAAGGAAGAACAACGGCGAAGCTAAAATCCAGCTTCATACTATATTTCTCTATTATCTTCATCCAAATTAATGGAGGATCCATTATGGGAAATCGAATTTGGTACACACAGCGCATATAGTGTAGGTGAAATTGCTTAAATGATTCCTGCATGCTCGTATTTTTGATTCTTGATTTTCTCATTGCTCTTCTAATTCCCTATCTTTTTTCTCGATCTTCACAAACCAGACTAACCATGCTTTCAATCGTGCGATGTCGCTCTTGCAATCATGGTGCGTACAGTGGATGACAAATTGTCAAGTGGCACAAGCAAACGATCCACCAATGTTATCTCTTCTCTCACACATCAAGTCTATAAAACAAAGAATCTAAATTGGGGATGCATTACACGTTTTCGTTCTCACGAATTCTCTCTTTCATGTATTTTAATTGAACTGGGGCCTGGTGCTGTGATAATCACTCCATGGTCACAACCTTTGAGTTCAAGATTCGAATTCTTTCATAAATTGAAAATGTGAATCGATGTGTCTTCTGTAGTGGTGTTCTTTAATCATAAATAACATTCAAAACGAGTCTTTGTATTCCTTTCCGTTGTACGAGATGAGATACGAACCAACACTTCCTAATTTGTACAATTGGTTCGTATTTACTGTTTGAATGATGAAGTTCGTAATCGCGACACCGGGCACAAACATTCCACCCGTCATTCAGTTTTCTCATTAATAATACATGGATTGGTGAAAAAAATTAAGTACGATAGGAATCAGAATAGTAAAGGGGGTCCGGCGGAAAGTATATGCTTTGACATAATTCAACCGCATCAACCATTCGAACTCTGAAATTTTTTCCTTGCAAATAAACAAAAATCACCAATCATCTTTAACCATTCGAAACAAGGTTTGACACAAGTTTCTGATATTCCAACA